TTGAGTACTTAAATTATTCATCACTATTTGATTCAATTATCATCAATATATCTTGGCAAATGATAGATTTCTCAAAGAGCAATTGGTTTGATAGTGTTTCGTTGAAAATGTAGTCTCCAGAATATGTGTTTGGTAGTGTATGTTTCATATTTAAGAAAAAACCCGATAAATAACTGAAAAACCAACCAAAACCAATAAAAACGGAATCGATAAAAAAATGACTTAATTGTTTTGGTTTGGTTTCAATATTTGAAGAACCGACTTACTTGGTTTGGTTTCTTTTTAGGGAAAAACCGATCCATACCGAACCATGAACACCCCTAATTCCAGAAAGGTTTGGGGATGCAGGTGAATTTGAGTACAGCTTTTCATCCCCGGACAGATGGACAGGCCGAGCGAACCATACAGACCCTCGAGGACATGTTAAGGGCGTGTGTGTTTAATTTCAAAGGCAGTTGGGATGAATACTTAGTGTTGATAGAGTTTGCATACAACAATAGTTATCATTCCACCTTACAGGTGGCGCTTTATGAAGCTTTGTACGGGCGCAAGTGCAAATCACCCATAGGAAGGTTCAAAGTTGGTGAGTCTCAGTTGATAGGACCAGATTTGATCCAACAGGCAGTGGATAAGGTTAAGCTGATTAAGGAGAGATTGTTAGCAACCTATAGTCGACAGAAGCCATATGCATACAAATGGCGCTGAGATCTAGAGTTCCAAGTTGGCGAATGGGTGTTCCTGAAGGTGTCATCTATTAAAGGCATTATGAGGTACGGAAAGAAGGGCAAGCTTATCCCTAGGTATATAGGTCCATACCAGATCATCAAACGAGTTGTTCATGTAGCATACAAGTTGGACCTTCCGGTAGATCTTCAAAAGGTACATCCAGTGTTTAATCATTATGCTTCGGAAGTGCGTTGGAGATCCTTCCAGAGTTATACCGGTTGATGACGTACAGTTTACCGAGCATTTGAATTATGAGGAGGTACCTATTGTCATTTTAGATCGGCAGGTTCGTCGGTTGAGGACGAAAGATATTCCTTCAGTCAAAGTGTTTTGGCGGAGCAATAATGTGGAAGAGAAGATCTAGGAAGCTGAGAAGTATACGAGATCCATATATCAGCACCTCTTCACTACTCAAGGTATCTAACGTATCTTTGCTTAATGCTTTTGTATACCTCAGTCAACATTCGAGACCGAATGTTCTTGGGGGGGGAGATGGTTACATCCCATTTTTCCGTGATACTGTATATTGTGTAAATGACTTGATAAGAAAGATTTAAATGATTTTAAAGTCATCATATGACTATATATGATGTTTGGATATAGAATATAAAGTTTAGGAAAAATCGGATTTAAGTTGCGAAAAAACCGACTAAATATTTGCTTTGTAAAGAAACTTTTTGAGAAACTAATCTCGTGTGTTATATGAGGTCTTTTGGGAATATATTATATACCAAATTAAAATTCTTGGAATTTAGTTTCCAACTCTCTTGAACAATCATACATACAACGTCCGGATAAAGAGATATGAGCGTCGGAAGAAGGGCCGTGAAGCACACATGCGGTTGACTTTTCAACCTTATTATAAAAAGAAGACATAGTTCTTTTCCAGCAAATGCACGCACAAGCAGAACTTCCATAGCTATCTAATAATTTCCTTAGGGTTTTGAAGCAAGTCCATCTTCCGCAACTCAAAATCAAGAAGCGAACACATTAACGCGATCCTTACGACATAGGTAAAACTTTGCCGTCCTCCTTTCTCCTCATAACTCGAGTTTTGGAAAGAGATTCATGGCTAAGCAAGCTTGTCACCTTTGGATCAAAGGGAACAAGGTTCCGAAGCAGGAACATAAGAGGTATGTAGGATTTTCATTTCATTTTCGACATGATTTGATTTAACTATGCTCTAGCCTTTGTTCTTGATCTTTTTAGAGTTTTCCAAGGGAGATTTCAGCATGTATTGTATCGTTGTACAATATTCAATTTCTTATGTCAAGTATGGAAGAAATTAGTTTAGGTTAAAATTTCAAAATACAACAAAAACAAAAAGGGCGAATCGCCCATTTGGCGTATGCCATCCAGACTTCCTTCTATTCCGTTCATTTGATGTTTTTATGTATATCTAATCCCCATATGATCCTAATAGATTCATTTAAGATTATATAAGCTTAATTATCATATATTGATGCTTAGGTTATTCCTAAATCATATTTAGATTTTTCATGTCACAAGTTAGTCACTATGAGTTGACATTACATTCATAATTCTATTTTGTCAACTGTTTGACACTATTGTGGATAACTGGATCTCCTTTAGTTATATGTTATCATCTTGTATGGGTATCTATTCCCATGTAGATTGTGGTGCTTGGTATTTATTTTTGGGGATCATCCAGTTTTAAGGGAAACTCTGCCGAAGCTTTTGAAAATTCGAAGAGTTGGACAAATTTTGAATTCCTTAGGGATCCTAATGAGTTAATTAGCCTTAGTATCTCATGTACATTCTCAGTTTCTCCCTAAACTAGGGATAGACTCCTCCTTCCAACTCATGGACGACGAGCGTCAGATTATATTTGTGATTCCATTTATGGTTTCCTTCATGATCCCTTGAGTCCATTTGATGCTACCACATGTGTTATGCCTCATACATGCTTATATTGATGCTAGGGGAATATATCCCATAAAGCCAGGGAGACTTATTGGTTATATGGTGGGGAGAGATAGCCCATAACACCAGCCGGGCCTATTGATTATGTGTTTACCTGCTGGGAGGTATAGCTCATAACACCAGTCAGGCATGTTATATACGCGTATATAGCTACAACTTGCATTGTATGACTATACATGAGGCTAATTCAGATGTACAGTTACTTGATTGGGGAGATATGCCCATAACGACAGAAAGGTACCAGTTCAGATTTTAGTTCAGTTTCAGCATAGTTTCAGCTTAAACTTCGGTTCAATTCCAGATCAATTGTTACTTCAGACTCTTGTTTAGCTTTCAGCTTATAGTCAGACTTTAGTATGCTTTACACATACTTTCCACCCTACATACTTTGTACATATCATACTCACGTCTTTCCGAGACGCTGTGTTTCATGTCGTACAGATATAGATAGATCAGCGCTTGAGCCACATCAGTAGGCCATCCACCAGCTGTTGGAATCACTCCGCTTACTTTCGGAGTTACTTATCTTTTGGTATGTGTATAGTCAATTAGTTTGGGTATGGCGGAGCCTTGTTCCGTCCAGTACTTGTTCAATTCAGCACTCCTAGAGGCCTGTAGATATGCATCTGTGCAGATAGCATGTTTTTATATATCAGCTTGTGTTAGCCTTGTAGGCTTTTCAGATTGTACTGTTCTTATCAGTTATGCTTAAGCTTGTTCAATTTATCAGTTTATATTCATGATTAGTAGATTATCAACAAGTTTACTGATGATCGGCACTTAGTCGGTTATCCGTCACGGCCCTAGGCTGGGTCGTGATAATAAGTAAATTAGTTCTTAATTTTTATTGTAAGATAAGGAAGAAGTATGGCTTTCTCGTAAATATTTAAGTGATACTCAGCTTATTTTCGGCATGGTGAAAAAGAACAAATTAAACTTTAGTATGAGGTGATTATAAGTATTTGTGTGAAATTTATTGGTTAGATTTTATACTGGAGCGAGGAATGTTATGAAAAAAAAAAAAGAGACGACCCAAGTCGGATGTGAGAATGTGTTTGGTACAACGAGGTCATTGATATTTTAGATATTCATTGTTATAATTGCAATATTTACATATGACTAATAAGGAACTAAGAGTTTCATTTTAAAAATTTGAAACAAAAAGTTAATATTTGAAGTTCAAATTTCTTTTGTGTTCAATGTAGTTTATACACTGACTAGCTTTGTGTATTTCCAAACTGTAGCTATCCATTTTCCTTAAGAGAAAGAGATATAATTTTTTCTTTTTTCATGTTAACTATTTCAATTAACTACGCTTTGATTAATTGCAAATTCAATTAACATCGTCAATTTAAATGCAGTGCCCACTTTTTTGCCCTGCAATTAAAAAATATCCATTTTGCTGGAGTTTTAAATTTCATAAACGAAATTCCATAATAATATTTTGAGTTTTACTTGTAAAATTTAAAATATTAAATAATAATGATATCTCAATAACACAAAATAAAAAGTAGTAGCTATTTGTGAATTTTACCCCTTCATTCCTTCAGTTGAGCCAAACTGCTAGCGCCCAAAGCATAAAGTTTGGGCCACACCTAATGCAAGTAACGAATGGGTGAACTTTTGCAGCCCCAAGCCTTTTGATTAGGGATTTTTTCCTTCCTATACCATATATGAAACTTTATTACCAAATATGTGCATAGTATCTAAATTACCCGCCTAGTCCACATTTTTCCTACAATTTCTGTACCATTCGTTTATTAGGAATCAATAGGGCAGAATCTTCCCTTATAACGCACGAAAAATCAGGAAAGAATCTTGGGATTGATTGACTCTACATTAAGTTCAAATTTTGGAAACAGAAAGGAGATTTCGCATCTGCGTAATTTACTCTTATACTACAATTCAAAATTTTAAAAAAAAAAAGTACGAACAGCTTCAACAAACTACGAACAGCTTCAACAAACTGAATTCAAATTGTAGAATTCAAATCTTCGAGATTCAACAACTCAAAATTGCTATATTCTGTTCTTCGCCGTTTTCAGAAATCAAATTGACGATCATATATCTGTTCATCTTTTTTTCTCTCAATCTAGAAATCCAAAAAAACGAAAAAATTTAGAATAATACATCAGCAACAACACGCAATCATCTCCAAAATCGCAATCATGCTACAATTGAATGAGAATTGGGATAACTATGGCAGATTTAGAAATTTTGAAGTTGATGCCATTGTGGTAGATGAGAATGCAAGCTACAGTATTCTGATTTCTACAATTGCAGAACAACTATCGATTGATACTTTAAAAAAAATTGTAGAATTCAAATACATGGTGAACGACAATTGTCCCCTAATGGAGATTAGGAATGATATGGGGGTTCGTGTGTATATGGAGACCAAAAAGGAGAATAAAAACTTAGGTTCATATCCGTTATGTATAAGTGTACGAGATTTCAATACGGAATTGGCAATCACCAACGATAACACAAGAGGTTTGTATAGTTCGAAATTGCATAGAATTATGGTTTTACGGTATTATCTACAAAATTACTACATTTACATACAATTAAACTACAAATCAGTTTAATGAAAGAATAAAGCAATGTTGTTTTCAAAATTATCTACAAAAGTTACTACATTTATACGACAAAATAAACTACAATCTATTATTAGAAACTGTTGATTTCAAAATGTTGTCTTCGAATAAAACTACAATCTATGTTTAGAACAAAATCTAGTCAAATAAAATACAAATCAATTTAATTATGTACGAAGCAGTATGTTTTCACAAATTTCTACAAATTGCAACAGTTATAGTACAATTTAACTACAATGTCTGACATCCTAAAATGGATGACTACAAAATTTTCACTATATCTACAAATTATCTACAAAGATTCTACAAAATTATAATGACACTGTTTATCTTTATTTTGATGCAGGTTCGTCTGGATCCCTAAAGTTACTTGATATGCCATCCTCTCCAGCTATAGAGGAATATCAAAGTGAAATAATAAAAGAATCTACGCAAACTGTTATTGAAGAAGGACAAGTGTATCAGGACAAGCAAACTGTAGCTGCTGCAATGAAGCACTTTTCTGTGATGCACAAGTTCCAGTTCAGAGTTAAAAGATCTAGTCATAGAAGCTATGGAGAAAATATCATTAAAAGCAGTGTTTACTCAAGTTATGTGTTTTTTAAACATAGATAAATTGTAGTTAAATTGTAGTTTATGTTACTTTATGTTAAAACAGTCCTTTTGTTGCATCTGCATTTATAATCTGTATTAAATATTGTATTTTTTTGTAGCTACTGGCTTGTATGCGTTGGTGAAAACTGTAAATGGCACTTCAAGGCAACGTAAATTAATGATTCCGCAATGTTCAAGATAAGGAGTTTCAACCGACAACACACATGCTCCTTAATGGACGAAACATTCATACAACGCAAACGTACTGCAGCTATAGTTGGTAGCATGGTCATTCGAAAGTATTGTGATCCTAAGACTGTTTACACACCAAAGGACATACAAACTGACATGTTATCCGAACACGAAGTGAACCTAAGCTACATGAAAGCATGGAGAGCGAAGGAAAAGGCTTTACAGTTTTTGAGAGGGAATCCGGCTGACTCCTACAGCAAATTACCCAAATATTTTTATATTCTTGAGGAGACTTATCCTGGTTCGGTTGTTAAATTGAAGAAGACAGCAGATGAATGCTTCTTATACGCATTTGTTGCTCTTTGTACATCAATAAGTGGTTGGCAACATTGTAGGCCAGTAGTACTGGTTGATGGGACATTCTTAAAGTCAGCCTACAGGGGGATTATGCTGACAGCAAGCACCATGGATGCAGTATGTAAAAAGTGCAAAAATTTTGTAGTTATTTTGTAGGCAGTCTATAAAATGTAGATACATTATAGTAATTTTGTAGTTATTTTGTAGCTATTACATGAAATGCAGATAAATTGTCTATATTGTGAAGATATATTGTAGTTGTTTTGTATTTATATTTTTATATACATTATCAGAGCTGCCAATTAATATTTTATGAATTAATAATGTAGGTACAATATTGCCCTTGGCATATGCTGTGGTTGATTTTGAAAACGACGCATCTTCGAAGTGGTTCTTTGAGCAATTCAAGCAGGCATATGGTGAAAGACCTTCAATGTGTGTTGTTTCAGATAGGAATGAGAGTATACTGAAGGCAACATCAATTGTCTATCCGGGCATGCCACACTACTCTTGCATGTGGCATATTTGGACAACTATAAGGTCAAAATTCAAGAAGGGTCATCTACAATTACATGAGTTGTACTTTGCTACAGCAGGGTCATACACTCTGGATGAATTTAATGAAAGGATGTCGAAGATTGAAGAGATAGACCCTCGTGTTAAATCATACATCTATGATATTGGCTATCATAGATGGTCAAGAGTACATGCAACGGTCAATAGAACTTGAACTATGACATCAAACATTGCAGAGTCATTGAATGCTGTAACAAAATATGCAAGAGAGCTGCCAATATTTGACCTATTAGAGTATATGAGGACACTTCTTGAAAGTTGGACGAAAGAGAAGTTATTGAAGGCAAATGGTACTTTCACATACCTTGGGTACAAATTCAACAAAGAATTGGAGAAAAACAGTACATTATCTCAGAATCTTAGGGTAAGATCTGTTTATTTGGTGCAGTAAAATAATATTTTAATATACAGTGTAGATGGTAGAACATTTGTAGATAAATTGTAGATAAGTTGTAGATAAATTGTAGATAATCTATTTTTATGATTGTAAATATTTTTCTTTCTGTTTGTTCTGCAATTGTAGGTGGGGGCTTCAACAGATCATATACATACTATGTTAGATGGTGTGAAGCGGTACATTGTGTGTCTAAAAAATAAGAAATGTAGTTGTGGCCAATTCCAACTTGAAGAACTTTCATGTGCGCATGCCTTGGCAGCATTAAGGCACAAGCATGAAACATATGAAAACTATTGTTCCCCGTATTACACAAGGGAGAGCCTTCTGCGTACGTATGAAATACCAGTAAATCCTCTTCCTAATGAAAGCAAATGGAATGTGCCACAATATATTTTGGATGAGGTAGTAAAGCCACCGACGGGAGGTAAAAGGCAGCCAGGGAGACCTCAAAAGGAAAGATATAAAACATATGATAAAATAAAATCAAAGAAGTACAAGGTGTCATGTGGAAATTGTGGAGGTGAAGGGCATAACAAAAGATCTTGCAAGAATGCGCCCAAAAAGAAATGAATATCATGTAGTTAGAATAACATTCAAACAAACTGTTACTGAGTTAAAGTTAGCAGATTTTTTGTGTAATCGGTTAAGTTTTTAAAGATCATTATGAAGTAGACTATAATTTGTTTATGTGTGTTTAATATGCTTTTATGTATTGTGTCAAGCATCTAAATTTATCTTTGATATAGTGTAAATAAACTTTAATATTTATTATCTACAATACAATTGATATTAAAAAAGTAACTCTAATGTAAAGTGTTTCCAGATTGTAGGTAACATATAGGTTAAATGTAGTTAGATTGTATTCTTGATAATAATTTGTAGATGATTTGTAGATAAATTGTGGATAATATATTTCTATGATGGAGTATTTATTTCTTCTGTTTGTTGTGTAATTTAACTTCAACTGACAGTTATATAAATATATTACCTAGAACTTGAAGGTATTTCATAAAAATTATGAACATATACAACTACAAAATTATATACAATAACTACATTGAGTGTTTCCAAAATGTAGATATTGTGAAGATTATTGTAGGCAAATTGTATTCTAACATCAAAATACTCATGTTTAATATAATGAAGATACAGTGTTGTAAACAACCAATTAATATTCAAGTGAACAACTAATAATGAAAGATAAAATAACAAAACAAAAAGGTATGCTGCAATAAAAACATAAAAATTTTGTTCATAAAGTAGTGTATTCTCCTTTAACTACAAATTGGCATCAACTAAACTAGGAAAACAGGACATTATTTCTTCTTTCTCTGGACTCTAGTCTTCTCATTCAAAGAAGGAGCACCCTTCCTCCTTGCTACCCTGCCTGTAACCTCACTTTCACTGATTGACCCATCTTCTTGCTTCTTTGTAGCATAGTCCCATAGGAGAGCTCCATAGCGTGTACGGTGTTGGTCGATATCCGAAAGGTCTTTTGAAAGGATTGACAAATCTCCAAGTCTAACATACTCCGCAAAAGCAGCCACAAATACACCACAATCGCTGCATAAGACAAAAAAATTTAATTATTTAACAAATGATTATAAAAAAAATAATTAAACATCTAGAAAGAGAGAATAGTTTTTCAGTGATCCTTCCTTTTGCTGTGGAATCTCCGCAACCATCCACTGTATGTTGAGAGGGTCTGTAACTGGTTTCTCAATGTATGCCTTTGTGGTCTTGAAGTCAATGTCTTTACGCTTCCCGTAGAAACCAGTGCAAGACAAATACATAGGGATAATGATTGAAAACTTAGCAACACATGATTCAACAGCATTATGATGGTGTGAAGACACCATGGAATCATACACATAAAGTTGCCTGTCCGCTATGTCGAAAACGACCAACAACCAATGGAAATTCTCTACAATGTTCACGGGCATGATGACATAGTCAACTTCATCCCAGGCAACATTAGCAAGAAGTCTATACCCAAGAATATATTCTGCAACATCATCATCGGTTTTAACAACCGAATACTTTTTTTCTGGCGGAGAACTTATGAACTTCTCATAGATTTGTTCAATCTTTGACTTGAACAAGCAATCGGTTGTTGTAAACCTAGTGTTGTTGTTGTTGGGGCCATATTTGCCTCTTTTTCTCAGGTAATACATAATAACATCAATGTGCTGCAAAATAAAATAAAATCTACTATAAGCTACGGTGTAGCTACAATTATCAACAAAGCAGATACACTTTAAACTACAAATCCAGAATTCAAATAATCTAACAAATAACTACACTTTAGCTGCCATACACAGCAACACATGGAACACAGCAACTACCATAAGGTATCAATAATATCGACATTCAAACTACAGTTAATATTCTAAGTCTTCAACTTGCTCTACAATTTAACTACAAATTAACTACAATCATGAAATACAGATATACCAATTCTGTCCAAATTACCAAAACATACAATTTTTACATACAAATCATCATCAAATATGATACATAAGGTCCAACCTAAATACAATCACACTATAAATAATAAGAGCAGCATTTATAAGAAATGTCTACATTATATCTACAATTTATAATAAAATGCATGGTCACATATATTTCATATCTACAATATAACTACAATTATACTACAAAATAGAAGACAAAATATATCTTGTGAATTTATTCTTTGATACTTACCGAGTCATTGAGTACTTGTCCGGGGTGAGCAAGGGAATAAAACCAGTCCTTCTTATCCACCTTTTCAACTCCAAGATCTAACCAAGGCTTGATTTGGTTATCCTTTATAGAAAAGGGAGCCTTCCTCCTATAACAACAAATAAATGTCCAATCAAAAAAAATTACAGAATGAATTACATATTTAAACTTTAAAATGCTGAAATGAAAGTGTCAAATTAAGCATTCATACCTCTTAGATACTTTGTTACTACGGTGGTATAACCACTTGTTGAACTTATCTAACACATCAGAATCTACATTTTCACCTATAAGAGTTGTGAAGGGGTGCTTGAGGTAGAAAAATTTAGGTCTAATAGAGTTGCTGCCTCCAGAACTATATAGAGGTATGAAAGGTGATCGTGCATGTTTCCCCGGTTGCCTGGTTCTCCCCGGATGAATAGGGGTTGCTTCATCTGGTATGGGCTCGCCATACTTAACCAATTGTGTTAAGTTGTCTGGCAACTCAAAGTCATCCAATGTCACACCCTTCTTATCAATGCCTGATCCTTCAGAAACAACTTCATCCACATGATGTGCATCTTCACCTTCATTTAGCTGTTTCTCAATGACTTGTTCTGTCTGAGCTGCTACAGTCACTCCGTGAATTGGGGACTGTGCATTGATATCTTCAATATCTGTTACATAAAACATAACTTAATTAACAGAAATGTAAAATTGTATAAACAACAATTATTTATTCTGAATGACAGTATGATATTATATCTGCTTGTTCTACCTCAGCTGCTTCTTGAAATTCTGGATATAAGTGAACATGTGCTGGAACATGTTCTGGACAAACTGCAGCTTCAATTTATAATTAAAAAAATGTAAATAATACTAGATAATGCTACCTTGAAAGTTGTAGATATAGGTAGGAAGTTGTAGATAAAATGTGAATAATAAAACTATGCTCTATAAAGTTTTATACTAAGTGTGTATATTTGTAGGTATTTTGTAGATACCTGTGTTGCTTGTGCTTGCATGCAATTGATCACCAATATTGAACTGAAATTGCTGGTTGTTCACTCCTTGTTGTTGGTCATTGTTTTTGGTTGAACTACCAGCAAACTAAAGATTTTATGTTAGTTTGAGTATATTGTTTCATATGTCATAATTTGTTTTGGTATATAAATATATGTCAACTCTTACCTTTGCCTCATCCACATCATATCTCCTATTTATCAATTTCAAAACACTCTTCACAGAATCATCTATAAACCCTCGAAGGTCATGGAGTTCCTTATACAGCCTTCCTAAAATCCTCTAACTTTCCACCAACCTAAAAGTTAAAAATATAGTTAGTTGGAAATTTTATTCAAATAAATTACAAATAAGTTTAATTATGTACGAGGCAGTATTGTTTACACAATTGTCTACAAATTGCTACAGTTATACTACAATTTAACTACAATGTGTGCAATCCCAACAGGGCTGACTATAGAATTATACTATAATTTAACTGCAAAGTATACTACATAAATTGTTATGAAATGTAGATAAATTTTAGCAAATATGTAAATATATTGTAGTTAATAATATTACCTGCTCAATTCCCTTTTCTAGCTTCCTGAGCTTCATAACCACAGATTCATTGTCCTCTTGACAATCTATATGTTTGGGTTCCAATGTTGGAGAATCAACATTTGGAACCTCTGGTGATTGTGCGCCTTGTTCATCTTCATACTCAATCTTGTTTGGCAGAGTAAGCACTCCAATTTTTTTCTCCAGATTCAGTCATGCTTGTGAACTGAATGATGAAAAAAATAGTTAGTTCCACTAAGGCAGAAAATGTAGACTAATTGTAGATATTATGAAGGTAAATGTAGCAACATACAAAACTGAAAAAAAAAATACCTTAATCCACTCAAGCTTGATCATCTTCTCTTCAAAGGTAGTTAACCAAATCTGCCCCTTAGTAGTTGTACATCTTAATATGCGACGTATTGAGTCAGAACACCTCGTAGCAAGCTCTGTGCTGACGGTCGAGCAACACTCATAAAGCCACACTTGCA